TGCCCACACCCATGCATATGCTTACTCTACCACACCACACACACACACACATCACAGCCAGGAGCCAAGAGTCAGGCCACTGGATCGGGTCCTGGTTGTGAGGGCACTAGAGTGTGGCAGAAGCCCCCTGGGACGCTGGGGGGGTGCCACTTTCTTTCAGGGTTATTTTACAGCTGGTGTGGGAATCTAGAACCATCTCAGTAGCCATCGGGGCACAGGACGGGCAAGCGCGTGCACCTCAGCGTGGCCTGCTGCTGAGAAACCCCCTTTCTCAGAGGAGACCCTCCCCGGGCCCCGCACCTCGAAGCGCTCGTCCTCACAGCGATGCAGCTGCTCCTCGTAGGGCGTCTTCTTGGAGCTGACGAAGGTGGAGTCCTCCGACCAGGAGGGGAAGGAGACCCAGGTGTCGTTCAGCACCTGTGCCAGGGAGATGGTGACCAGCTGAGGCCCTGCCGATCGATCATGCCACCTCCCGCCTTAATCAGCGTAGCAGACACCCACACAAGCAAGGTTACCCTGACTTGAGAAAACTGTTGTCGCATGCCAGTAAAAGGAGCTTTCACAAAAAGCATGTTGGGCTGCTGATAGGTCAGTGGTTCAAAGCCACCAGCCACTCTGTCGGAGAAAGAGGCTGGCTGCTCATTTACCGCCTCAGAAACCCTACAGATAAATTGTTCTACTCTGTCCTAGAGGTCACTATGAGTGGGAATTGATTAGAAGGCAGTGGGTTATGGCCAAATGGGCACATTAGTACTTCAGGGGTCAGGGAATGTTCTCTGTAAAGGGCAGATGGGAAGCGTTCTAGGCTTTGAGGCTTGCCAGGCTCTGTCACATCTACTCAGCTCTGCCCTTAGAGCTAGAAGATGGCCGTTGACAATAGATAAAGGGGCGTCACTGCACCCCAAAGCTTTCTTTACAAATGCAGTTGGTCATCTGGGTTTGGTCCAGGGCCATGGTCTGCAGACCCCTGAAGCGCATCCTGCACTGAGCAGAGTGTCTGAATCCGGCCAGTGTCTCTCGGTCTGGGTTCTGGGCCAGCCCCATGAGGGGCTGCAAATGGACGACTGTCATCCACGGAGTTTCCGCTGGCTGATGCTGGGAAGTCAGCACCAGGCCTTTCTTCCTGGTCTGTGAAACCTGGTCAGCACCGCAGCTACACCTCCACCTCCACCTCCTCTGACAAGGTGCACTGGCTGGACAGGAACCCCGGTGACCACGACGTAGGGTGGGAAGTGTGCCCGAGAGCCACTGGCCCCCCACCCCCTTGGAGCCCAGCTGCGGTGGAGGGCAGTGGTGCCGTGTGTGGGTTCGGACTCAGCGCCACCCCATGTGGTGCAGATCGAAGTGCTGCACAGGCTGGTGCAGAGTGCTGGACTGTCCCCTTAGGGAGCAGGTCCTCAGAGCATCTCTGAGGAGCCACTGGCCGGGTTCCAACCATCAAGTGGCATTAGCTGAGCACTTAACTGTTGTGCCACTGGGCACGGCCACTCTGCCACTCTGAACACGTCCCTGGAGAAGCTGAGCAGACACACACCGAGGACAGCGAGTGCTCCAGGGCACCACCCCAAACTCCTGCAGCTCGCCGGCCCCAGCCAGCCCTGCTCCCTGTCTGGGGCAATCTGGGTACAAGCCCACGTTAAACCCCAGGGACATTTTGGACAGGGGCTGGGGTGAGTGGCCCAGAAGCGCTCCTTGTCCTTGGGGCGCACACTTCCCTCCGGCCCAGGCAGCACTACCTCTTTACATATGGCCGTCCTCCCACTGCACTTGGGCTGTTGGTAGGTCTTGGGCAGTGCCCGGTAGCTGGACCCGATGCGCTTGCAGGACGCGTAGTCGATCTCCCGACTGATCCCGTCCCCGGACCGGTCACTCAAGGGCGGGGCAAACGACAGCTCCTTTACGCCCAGGAAGGACTTGAACTGGGCAAAGAGTTCTGGAAACTTCCTTCAAAGGCAAGGATCAGTGGTAAGTTAGCACCTCAGGCTTTGGAGAGCAAGGCATCAGAGTTCCTGGGGTCCT